ATGTTTTAGGCGATATCATCATTGATATCCCTGATTAATTTATGTGCAGAGGGCGATGTATAGGTTACCAATTTATTGTAATGTATGATGGTGGTTTCTGTTTTTGTATGATGGTGGTTTCTGTTTTTGTTTTGCTTCGATTATCGTTTGTCTTTTGTAAGTTTTGGCGATTTTAAATTTGGAGGTTTAAGTATAATATGTTGGTATGGGAAACTGTCGTGTAACGGGCCAATGGCCGTAATAAAGATCAATCCAATCCAATCCTCACCCCCACAATTTGCTATTGAGTTTAGGCAATTAATGCAAGGCAGACAATGGAAGATTTTACATAATGTAACATCAGACAGCTGGTTTCAGGTGTCATGGAGTAGCAGCAAGTTGCCAGTCCTTTTATTTATTCTTGGTGTATTTTTACTACAGGGTGGGGGCTCAGGGGGGAAATTGGTCCTTGTGAGATTTTCAGCCAATATAACTTAACTGGTACTATTATTATCATCCACGATGACTGGGAGGGGAGTGCCATTCTGCAGCAAGCTGCCTTGGGCTGGCCAGAGAGGAAATGAAGCCGGAATATAATTATTTATTATGTTTGTTTAGTCCCTTGCCACCTAAGAAGGCTCCAAGCAGGAGAAATGATTTTGAGGAGATATGGAGTTTGTTTGTAGAATTTGTACTGTTAAAACGGAAAGGGGTCAAACCATCGCAAGAGGTGTTGAAATTTTGGGAGGTTACAATGGAATGGTCTTGGTGGTGGGGTGCACATTTTTATTCTTGTTTATTTATTCTTATTACTTTGTAAAAAAATAAATTAAAAAGAATGTATAAAATGTAAATAAATGTATAAAATATAAAGAAACGAATAAAAAATTAAAAAAGAAGACTCCGAGCAAAGTACAATATTTCAAAAGCATAAAACATGGCATAAAGTTGAAAAAAGAACATTGCAATAAAAGCCAGCAAACCCAATAAAACTGCAACAACTGCAGCAGCTGAAAGATTCCACCAACAAACAGCAAAAACATCAATACCTGTCAAATGCCAGAGAGTTAAGAGATGTTGTTACCTGCTGCTAATAATGGCAGCAGGCAGAACTCACTGAGTATATGACAGTTGTAGGAGAGGAAGAACTGATGGACACTTTTGGCCATCAGATTTTTGGATTCATATTTCTTGAAGTTTTGGGACTTTGGCCAGTCCTGTCCTATACCTTAATATGCATAAACAGAGCCTCAAGTGGGTGTTAAGCTATGCAGAAAATCCTGCTGTTTTGTGGATAGCCAGCACTTTCAGTAAAAACAAACAAACTGTAGAACTGAGAAGCAATGTCACTCTGCAGATTCTTTTAAATATGATGCATTCAGGACAGCAGAGAGATGGGGAGCCTGCAGCCCTCCAGATGTTTCTGGACTCCCAACTTTAATCTCAGAATCATAGAATTGTAGGGTTGAAAAGGAACCTGAGGATCATCTAGTCCAAGCCGGATCTGCAATGCAGGAATATGCAGCTGTCCCGTATGGGGATCAAATTTGTAATCCTGGCTTTATCAGCACCATGCTCTAACACACACATAGGCAAACTCGGCCCTCCAGATGTTTTGGGACTACAACTTCCATCATCCCTAGCTAACAGGACCAGTGGTCAGGGATGATGGGAGTTGTAGTTCCAAAACATCTGGAGGGCCGAGTTTGCCTATGCCTGCTCTAACCAACTGAGCTATCATCCAGTCAGCATGGACAGTGGTCAGGGATGATGGGAGTCCATAGTCCAAAAACAACTGGAGGACCGTAGGTTCCTCATCTCGAAATAGCAACTAACATCCCTGGAAAACATAATATGACCCAGTATTCAGGTGGCATATTTCAAAATATTCTAGCACTCATTAATCCTTAAATGATCTCCTTAATGTATCTGAAGAAGTGTGCATGCACATGAAAGCTCATACCAATAACAAACTTAGTTGGTCTGTAAGGTGCTACTAGAAGGATTTTTATTTTATTTTTTGTCCTTAAGGTAGGTTAGTAGTACAGTGGTACCTCGGATTAAGAACTTAATTCATTCCGGAGGTCTGTTCTTAACCTGAAACTGTTCTTAACCTGAAGCACCACTTTAGCTAATGGGGCCTCATGCTGCTGCCGCGCCACCGGAGCACAATTTCTGTTCTCATCCTGAAACAAAGTTCTTAACCTGAGGTACTATTTCTGGGTTAGCGGAGTCTGTAACCTGAAGCGTCTCTAACCTGAAGCGTATGTAACCCGAGGTATCACTGTATCTCCATTTTGCAGATATGGGGGCAGGAGGAGCTGAGAAACAATAAGCTTGGTGAAGGATTTCAAATGGCATGCTGGGTGCAAAAAGCAGACCTTTTAGCTTGTACTCCTAGGCATATTTACACAGAATTCAGCCCAGTTGTGGGCTTGTCTCCTAGGTGTGTGCATATGACTGCAACATTAGTCACCATGTTAGACCAGCTCTAAAAACTCTGTTGCCCCTTAAGCCAAGAGTGCACAGACTTCAGGTTTGTAGGATCTTCAGGCCGGTGGTAGGACTTTCCTCTGACTGCTCGGACCAATGTTTCTCTGCTGAATTATGACGACTTTGGATCCAACACGGTTGCCTGCAACAGAATGACTGATGGGCTGGAATCTGCAAGGGCTAGGAATTAATTTCTGCTGAGCAGAATTCTGCTGTGTGTTATCTGTGATTCTATGGTTCCCAATGCAGCTGAGATTTGCGACTTGGAAGTGATAAGCAGAGTACAAAAAAATGTCCAGGTTAGCGTAGCTTTCTGATGGTGAAAGAAAACCTTGTGAACTGTAGCATGCCTGCCACACACAGTTAGCTTTCACTGCACATTTTGGAAAGCAGCAAAAACATAGAGGCTAAAAGAACTTTGCTCCCTGGGATGTGGCAAAGCAACCGGAGTTGGTCTCCACAAACTTAAACAGCTCCACCGCAAGCCAAAATAGGCTGGGCTTTCTTTGCAAAGCAACATGCTATTGTGCTGCTGTGGCTTCACTGTCTCTCCCAGCGCTCTTGGAGCATTCAGACAATTTCTTTGGCTCCCCAAGCCGAGCAAAGTCTGAATGGGAAGCCTCTTTATGCAGAACAGGAACTCCCAACACAAGGTCTTCGATTTCCCAGACATCCAAAAGTTACAAATCAGAGGAAGTGCCATTTACAAGCTACCAAGAGGCTCAATTTCCCCATCAAAATTGTGTGGTTTTTAAAAAAGAGATCATTCTTTAAATTTAGGACTTCTGGGGATGTGCGAGGGGGAAAGTGGCACTCATAAATTCTTTCATATTACCTGTACTGTCATCACCACTCCCATTGGCTTATGCCTATATGGGACTCTTGTTCCCAGGTTGAAGTAAGTGCCCTGGTTCTGAATTAAGACTAAAATACCATCTAGACCAGCATTCTACTTCCAGAAGTGAGCACATGTCCCAGGCATAAGGAAGATTCTTGCATGTAATCATAATAATAATAATTTATTTATATCCCACCCATCTGGCTGAGTTTCCCCAGCCACCCTGGGCAGCTTCCAACAAAATATTAAAATACAGTAGTCCATCAAACATTAAAAGCTTCCCTAAACATGGCTGCCTTCAGATGTCTTCTAAAAGTCTGGTAGTTGTTGTTCTTTTTGACATCTGGTGGGAGGGCGTTCCACAGGGCGGGTGCCACTACCGAGAAGACCCTCTGCCTGGTTCCCTGTAACTTGGCTTCTTGCAGTGAGGGAACCACCAGAAGGCCCTCGGAGCTGGACCTCAGTGTCTAGGCAGAACGATAGGGGTGGAGACGCTCCTTCAGGTATACTGGACCAAGGCCGGTTAGGGCTTTAAAGGTCAACACCAACACTTTGAATTGTGCTCGGAAACGTACTGGGAGCAATGTAGGTCTTTCAAGACTGGTGTTATGTGGTCTCGGTGGCCACTCCCAGTCACCAGTCTAGCTGCCACATTCTGGATTAGTTGTAGTTTCTGGGTCACCTTCAAAGGTAGCCCCACGTAGAGCGCATTGCAGTAGTCTTAAGCGGGAGATAACCAAAGCATGCACCACTCTGGTGAGACAGTCCGCAGGCAGGTAGGGTCTCGGCCTGCGTACCAGATGGAGCTGGTAGACAGCTGCCCTGGACACAGAATTGACCTGCGCCTCCATGGACAGCTGTGAGTCCAAAATGACTCCCAGGCTGCGCAGCTGATGCTTCAGGGGCAGAGTTACCCCATTCAGGACCAGGGAGTCCTCCACACCTGCCCGCCTCCTGTCCCCCCAAAACAGTACTTGTGTCTTGTCAGGATTCAACCTCAATCTGTTAGCCACCATCCATCCTCCAAGGCAGGAGTGAGGAACTTCAGAACCAGGAACCAAATAACTGAACTTCAGGACTCTTCCCCCTCATTGGCCCTGTTCTTTGCCCGGTGTCAGGGACTGGCTGGCTGAAGGAATGGTGGGAGGCACCAGCCGGGGAACCCCCAGGGAAAAGCCATGAGGAGGAAGGCTCAGAACCCAGGGATTGGTGGTGGGGTGCCAAGGAGAGGTCAGAGGGAAAAGATTGGGAAGAGGTACTGGATACTGAAGGAGCAACAAGGGTATGTGAGCAGGAAGAGCCAGTGACAGGGGGCAGTCCAGATTCTGAGGCTGAAGCAGAGGAGGGGGGTCAAGAGGCTGTCTCCTGCTGAGACAAGCTCCCCTAGCCCCTGGTCTCCAAGAACATGCAGAATAATGAGGAGAGCAGCACAGAGGCCAGAGGTGTGCATACACAGTTCAACACTGCTTGGGAAACATCCAGGAGGGGAGGAGCCTTAGAAAGGGTAGAAGGCCCCTTTGTCTGAAGAGGCACTTCTACACATTCCGGTGGTCCTACGGGGTCACCACTTTGGACTCAAATCAGACATCATGCACACAGCCTTTGGGCTGGTCCATGTGAGTAAAGGGAGATGAGTCAAAACCTACCCAATATTCATCACCATAATAGAATTATGCAAGAGAAAGCAGGATTTATTTATTTTTTTAAGAAAGTACCAGTTTATTTTATCAAATCAGTGACAGTGAAAACAAAAGCAAATATACAAGAAATCTCATTTGAGCAATCAGGAGGCAGACATGTTTTCCAAGCAATCGTTATAAAAATGTGTTAAGTATATAATCCTCCCTACTCAGCCCCCTACCCCAAACTAAACAATTCCAGAAGCCAAGTTTGAAAAGACTTGTGCTTGTGCCAAAGCAAAATCCATTGCACAGACTTAAAACTTTACCCATATGTTCATCAGAGCAGTCTAACATACACATGATAAAAAAATCATCGCATGAATTCACTGCCAAAAGTGTTTTGTTTTTGTTTTTAAGGGAACAGCAAGCCGTACATTGTTCTGGTAACGTCTTATTAGAGAACCTTGCACAGCCCCCTTCTGTTCACGCAAGGACCACAAAGTTAAGTGTTAAGACTATGTCACGTTTTTAAAAGCTACAGCTCAAAGAATGCAGGTAGTTCAAGATTATGCCAGGATCTGTGTGGTTAGGAGATAGCCTTGTGCTGCACAGTACCCGATTTCCTGCAAATTACACAACCCACCCACCCCACACACACACACTGCACGGAGACCTCCCTTTGCTCTCAGAGGCGACAAGACTGTGCAGATGCAATCTGATCACATTGGAATCAAGTGGGGCCCTGAAAAGCAACTTCCGAAGAGACTCACTTCCTAGGAAACCCAGCTTACACCAGATACGCTGCAAGTCACTGAACAGCAGCCGTAGTCCATGCAATGCAGCTTAAAGGTCCTTGCAATACCACTATCTACATGCCCAACCCAAAGAACTCGGATCTAAGCCAGGCTCCGCTGCACCAGTTGCACTTTCCTCCAAATGAGGGGTGAGGAATCTCAAGCCAGGATGCCAAACGCAAACCTCTAGGACACTACCTGCCTCTCAAGACTCTCCCCAGGCAACACACCTCTTCATATCCCCTTTCTGCCTGGCTAGAAGGTGTCCTTCAATTCTGAGAGTGCCTTTGGTTGCCTGGATGGAGCAGAGAGAAATCAGCAAAGACAACATTTACATTCACTGCTCTACCCACTTTTGCTCCTGCTCAATACTAGCATGTGGTGGTCCCTAGAGGTTTGCCCAGCTGGAAAGGTGGTCCTTAGTCCAAAATGAAAAAGAAAAGAGAAGAAACCACTTCCCCATCCCCACTTTAATCTTTGCACAGCACAGACATGTTGTTCGAAACTTTTGTACCATTCTGACATAACCATCAGTGGATCAAGATTCTCCCTAACAGGTACCAGCATTTACAGTCAGGTAGAACCAGCAGCTGGAGAAAAAGCATGGCCCTGAAGATGCTCTTCTTTAGAAGGGGAACAGCAATGTGCCATTCTGAAAGCCAATAGTCTCAATTAAGAGCCCAAAAGAAAAAACAAATATGTATTTGGAGCCTCTTGGCACTTGCCTTAAGGGGGAATAGCAACTTTGCACAGAGACACCACTCTCCGTACCAAACAGCTTCTGAAGTCTGTCTTCTGTCACCCCGTGGCATTAAAACGGGATAAGCAAACAGCAGCATGTGGCCGAATCATGCCCACACCCCCAGCAGTGAAATTCCATGCTGCCTGTGCAGTGAAGCTGGGTGTAAAAGCTAGACTCCAACCCACACAGCTGAATTGTTCAGCTGCCATTGATTAGCAACACCATATGTGAAGTAATGACTCCATCGAGAAGAGGAAGACATTTAGGGGAACTCTGCAAGGAAGAGAGCAACCCAGCACCCCTTGCAGGAAGGCTGTACAAAACCTCAAGTGTGCATTTTACTGGAATATATATATTCTAGAGCTCCACAGCACTGATAATATATTACAAGGCTAAAAACACAAACCTCCAATTATATTTTAGTCATGTTCAAAGAAATCTGATTTTTGCATACAGACATTAATTCTAGCAGAACTTATTGCCTTCGGATATAGTACACAGAATCAAGCTTAAATAGTTTTCACAATCATTAGGAGTTTCATTATATTAGTGTTTTACGTATAAAAAGAAGAGTTACCAAAAACAGAGCAGCCATCTTAGAAACTATAAATAGCTCTATATAAAAACAACAACCCAGAAACTTATTTGCTTTTACTCCAGAAAATATATTTATAATTATATATAAATATTCTCTTCTCAACTGCCTAGAATAGCCTATGATATGAGCTTAGAGAGCTTTAACATACTGTAGCTGCTGCATCAGTTCTGGCAATGAGCGATATAAAATGCCATTCATCTGGAGAGATGTCCAGCAAAGGGGGGAAAAGGGACTTTTAAAAAAAAGAACTCATGAAAATTACAAAATATATATACTTTTTAAAATTCCGGAATACTTTCTACAAACTTGTATAGGCAGGGAATTTTTCTTAGCGTCTTGTATTTAAGGAAACCCTCTTCTAAAAATAAAAAAGGTATTTCTTTAACTCAGCTCCATTTAAAAAGTGGGAGACATCCCCCTGACACACACACACACACACACACACACACACACACACACACACAGACTGTTCTGCTTTTATAGGCTACTCAGCCCTCTCTCCACCAAGGAAGACATCATCTCTTCACACAGCCGCGTCCAAAATAGTACTGAGATACTCAAGTCTGCAGAGAGCAGATTTGCTCTCTCCCAAGGCTAACGTGCACTGTAGCGCAGGAGATTTCATAAATAAGTTCTTTACAAAACACGAAAAAGCCTTGTAGAGCTGGCCCCGCTACAGGACAACCTTCTTACACGTAGAAATGAACTTACACCTTTTCTGCAGACAAGGCAATTTGGAGCACTGCGACCAAATGCAAACAGTTTCACATACGAAACCCCTTCACCCAACCAAAACAGAGCATTTGGCAAAATTTGCTTTGCTTTTCAGGACACATGCACACTCGCACACCCCACAAGGGGTTTTTTCTCCCTAGGACGCTGCCTTTTTTTTTACTTTGCGTCCTTGTTGGCTAGTGGGATGGGAAGGGTCACAAAGTTTTTATATATATATATAAAAAAATCACTTTGACGGTTAGATCCAAGAGAGCATTTGTCCCAGAGCTTCTTGTCCACGGTCCAAATGCTTTTTTTTTTTTTTTACAAAGTCCGTTTCTGACTCCCAAATGGGTTTGTGGCGTTGGCAAGCCTTAGGCGTAGAATTCGTTTGTGGGTGCTTTCTTGTAGATCGGCTTCTTGCCCAGGTCGTAACTGCCCTCGTCCTTTTTCTTCATGCGATAGATCAGGAGGAGGATTGGGAAGACAGCAAACAGCAGCAACCCGACTGCCCCACCTGCAATAAGAGCTGGAAGTAGGGGGGAGAGGGAGAAAGGAAATAGCAGCATATAGTAAATACTTTGGAAACAGAAGAGATTTGCACCTACTTCCAACACATGTCATGCAATGCAGCTTCTGTCTCAAGCCTCCGCTACACAGTAAGTGCTGGAAGCTGTTTCCACCCAACTTTAGTTCCAGCTGATACTAGGTATTTTTTATTATTGTTACAATTAAATCATCCAACTGCTGCCGTAAAGAACTCAAGGTAGAGCACAACGTTCTCCCCCTTCCCACCTATCCTTGCAACAGCCTGTGCTACAAGGGTCAAGGTAATGCCAGCCGTGACTTTGAGAGTCATTCCAGTGCTCCAGGAAGTCTGTGCAAGAGAGATCTCATCTACTGGAATCACAACTGTTGCATACGTCAGCTCCATGCACGGGTTGGAATGTCTGCACAGGTTCAGCATCATAATAATAAATAACAATTATTATTTATACCCCGCCCCTCTGGCTGGGTTTCCCCAGCCACTCTGGGTGGCTCCCAACAGAATATTAAAAACACGATAAAACATCAAACATGTTTTATAAAGCATGCATGAGCAGAAACCCTACTAAAATTCAGGGAACAGTTGATGCTCTCAGAAGCTATGCAGATGTTCCAACCGATGGAAGGAAGGTGCGTGCATGGAAGGAACATGGCCCTATCTTCGTACTTATCGTCTCACTAGAGATCAAATATGTTCCACGAGGCTCCAATCTCTAAACACAACTTCTTGCACCCACTCATATGGAGTTGGGGAGAGGGGCTGCTTCTGTGAAGAGAAACCTGCTGAATGTTTAGGCCGAATGTAAGTTTAAGTAACGGAAATGCTTCTTATTTTGGGTAGTGATGTGAGGAGACGACCATGAGTTTCTCAGAACTGTGGCTGCCCATCTACAGGCCTTCACATGCTTATAGAGGATTGGCCATGTTGTTTAAACAACAGTTAAAAATACGTCCTCTCCCCACCACTCCTGTATATTTTCATTTTCCTCTTATTTGTGCAATACATATCCGTATTGTTAGTTCTTTGTATTCCTGATACAAAGCTTCTCTTCAGCAAATGAAGCTTCTTCCCATTTTAAGGAGTGGCAAACTGAATTCTTCCATCAAAAAGAAGATGGTTACCTGCCAGAACTTCTGTCCTCTCAAAGATGCTGCCATTGGCTGTGCTGGCCATCGAGATCTTGTTGGATGGCTCATCGCCTTCTTCAGAGGGCGCAGGTTTCCTGAGAACAGAATCGTTTTCTATTTCTATCACAGCAGGCTCACTATCCTTTGTCTCTCCTTTGGAATAAGGGATAAAGTTGTCCATGGGCTCCTGAATGAAGTGAAAAGATGAGTCATGCCTTTGTACCTACACAGCTGAGAGCAATGCTTCACAGAACGGAAAAGAAAGAAGGGTGAACGGTTGAACCCGTCTGGGCGCCAGCGTCTCCCCTTAAGTGTTCCAAGAGAACGATAATAACCAAGGGTCAGCACATCTAGAGACAATATGGCAGGACTGGCCAACAGCTGTAGATGCTGCTCCAGAACAGCTTTATGTTGTTTATATAGCAGAGACACCCTGGTATTCTGGAAACGGATAGCACTGTCAAGTGTTACTCCACTGTACAAACAGACTTGTCAATGGACAAATTTTACGATGATTTGGAATTCCTTTTTATAAATACCGTATTAGGTTAAGGTCTGGTTAAACTACAATAACTTTTGTTTTTTGTAATGTATACAATTCCTTTTTGTTTTTTCTATGTTGTTTTCTGCATGGGTACTATTTCTTTTTCCTTTTTCATGTGTCTTATCCTACTCTGTGCATTTGTAATTATGCACTTTTTATTTCCCAATAAAGAAAATAAAAAAGTGCTACTACACTGTACTGTTTGCTACCTCGGTATGTGCCATTTCCGATGGCCATTTACCTTGCGTAGCACACCTTTTAAAAAATAAATAAATAAATGCCATGGGGTCTTTAACACGCACCATTTGCCTATGCCAAAGCCATGCAGATCTACACAATAGGTAAACCTACCCAGCAGTAACCCATTCCCTCATCCCCTCAGTACAAGGATTGCCACTTGTGCAATAGGACTCCACCCCCCTTCTTTCTTCTCCCACCACATGTGCACCACACCTGCCCCAAATCTGCTCCAAAGGGTTGTGGGGGAAACCCCGGGACAGATTTAGAGAGCACACAGTGGGAGGAAAGTCCCATTTGACAGGCATTAATCCTTGTGCTGACAGGAGGTTCGCTCAGCAGTGCAGCAAATACAAGCCACTGTCGCTCTGCATTTCCAGTTTTCAATGTTCCTGCAGGGGTTCAGTAACACAGCTGGGTGGCCTGTTCTCAGAAGCCATGTAAAAGCAAGTCCTAGGTGGCACATCAACTGAATGACTTCTTCGCCAAGTGGAGAGTATTTGCAAATACCTACCATAGGTCTTTCGGAGGCTGGAAGTAAGGCATCCTCCGTATCATCTGCATAATGAGGAAAAAAACGTATTAATTCTCACCAAAATGAAGGAACTGTGATTTATACTGCCGTTCCTTCAGAAGACTTTGGCAAACTTGCATCAGACGGCTTATCGCCTCATCGCGCACTCTCCTCTTTCACATCTCCACCCAACCCCCGACTTCCCTGACCTAGTGGGTTTTGCTTCAGGCAGCCGGTTGCAAGGACTGCCACTGCAAGTCCACACACAGCGTGCTGTTTGACTTGTTTTCAAGAGAGGAGCTGCCCTTCTTTCAAACACCCATTCCTTGAGGAGAACTGGCTCATGTAAAGTCCCAGATCTGCCCCAACTTGTTGCGTGCTAGTTTCGGAGCTTGTTTTTCCTCCGCGCTGAGAACGCAGCGTGCAACAGGGCAACAAGTTGTTGGAGCAAGGCTGTGCTGGGAGTTTGGGGGAAAGCAAAGGGGACAAAATGCGAGGCTGTTGTGCTGTCAAAAGGCTGAAGTAATGAGAGGGGAGGTAGAAAGAAGAGCCATTTCTGAAGAAAGAAGGAGGAAAGCTTCTTCCTAAACACAGCCTTAATGGGAGTTGTCCAACAGAACCACAACAATGTGGGAAATTTCCCTGGCCAGTGACCAGCTGCCGCAGGTCAGTGAGGATATTAGAATTTCTCAGCTAGTTGTTCCAGACAAGCGCAGCCTGCATCCCCACACTGTTGGAACGGTGGTTGTGTGACAGAAGAGCATTTGTTTCCCTTTCAAGTTAGGCATGTGAACTAGAAGGTATAAGCAGGCATTCAGATTGCAATAAATGGCAAAGCAAGGTGAGCATCTCCCATCCACGCACACCTGGCTAAGGGTGGTTGCGCACTCGCAAAGCCTCAAATTAGGGAGTACAATGCTTTCACCCCAAGTTTAGCCAGATGATATTCAGCAAAGTAAATAGGAGCACAATGCAAACAACCTGTGTTCATCTCAGATTTATGACCTGCGGCTTACTACAAGCCTAGGCAAGAAGAGCACAGATTTTACACATGCAAAAGGCTGTTTGGCTTGGAGCTAGAGGCAGTTTAGAGTGAAGCATATATACCTTCTTCATCTCCTGAACCTGAGTAGTCATAGCCATCTTCATCAATTACAAAGTCAGGCCTTGAGTCCTCATCATCTGGCAAATCTCCAGATGGAAATTCATATAGCTGTGGGTCCATAGTCTCGGTTTCTCTCACCTAAGAAGGGAAAACAAGATTTAAAAGGAATGGTTAATAATAATAATAATAATAATAATAATATTTATACCCTGCACATCTGGCTGGGTTTCCCCAGTCACTCTGGGCAGCTTACAGCATATATAAAAACATTGCAAAATACCAAGCATTAAAAATTTCCCAATACAGGGCTGCCTTCAGATGTCTTCTAATATTTGCATAGTTCTTTATCTCCTTTGACATCTGAAGGTTTGATATTAGTAGTCCAGGGGGGGGGGGAGAATACTAGAAGTTAACAGATTGGGTAATTAGACACAATAATTTAATAAAATCTGAAAATCGTATGAAAACAAATAAAAGAAAAGGGAGTTAGAATTAATTATTCTAAGAATTCTATTTTAAGTGTTATGAACTAGCATAAATGAGTGAGGAATTAAGAAATAACTGGAGTGTTTATGCTGTATTAGTAGGATTTAGAAATAAGTAGTTTATTTACGGAATGTAAGACAAAGCGTTGTATTCATAAGCAGAAATTGGATGGAACTGTAGAATTGTATTTTTGCGCTCTCTCTCTCTCTCTGTGTATATTTATATATAATTTATAGGAAGAGTCTTGATGGACCAGATGCCAAACTGGTTGTTCCAGAGATAGGCAGAATTCAAAGATGTCTTGATAGCTTGATTCAAAGATGGATTGTAGCTTAGAAGAACATGTTTAAAAGCCACAGGTGTTTACGGGCTGCACAGCTGGCTCCTGCAGGACAGGGGCATTTCTGCATCAAGTTGCAAGATGTACCATTGAAAAGCAGCAACACTAGTCACCATACCAGAGCCCTAACTCGAGCTGCCAAGGTGACACATAACAGTAGATCACCCAAGTGCCAGGGTGTACTGCAAACCCACTGATAATTAAGAGGGTTGCCAGGTCATTACCAGAACTAGTGCCAGAAGAAGATGTGGTCCATTTCATTTCCTGCCTTGCTCTTCTCTACTTGCGGAGGAGTTTCATCCACTCTACTCTGAAACTTCCTATGCATCAAAGTAAAATCTCTGCTTGCTACAGCAGGGAAGGGTGAAGAGAGCATGCAACGTCTCTGGCTGCCAGCTTTAAAGCCACCACGACAACCTGGCAGTAGCAACCCTATTTAAAGTTCTTGCAACCATCTTGCCCTATGCTGCCAGTGGGCAGAGGGAATGTCTGGCCTGTCTTCCCCCACAGTGCTGGTGCCTGGAGCCAGCCGTATGTGAAACGGCACTGTTTGCTTCCCCAAGGCCTCCGAATTCAATTAACACAATTATACAAAGGTTGGAACTGACAGATTTGTTTGCTTCCCCCATCTGAAAATTCTGCTGACAAGAGGATCAAAGGGTGGTTTTTCTTTTTTCTTTTCATAATAAATACTAACTCACTTGAATTAAGTGCTCCATCAAGAACATACAATTTAAAAAGCAAACTCAGCAGCTGCCCTTTGAAAATAAAAAAGAACTAAATGCTGGGGCCTAATGCAGCCACAGATATGGAATTAGCACAGCAACAGCAGCAATAGATAAGCTGTTGCACGGTACATAAAAGCCAAAGTGACTTTGCCAAGGTTCAGATGTCAAGCTACGCAGTTTCATAAGAGCCTGTTTACCTTCCACTGTTCAAAGAACCTGTAGCAACCTTCAGAGTTACTCCGAGGTAAGACAGCTTCCCTTGCAGCTCAGTACACCTTGGGTATCAAAAGACCAGTATGGCAGCTTAGAACTACACACAACTCAATTCCAGAATCGTTAGGTCATTTGCCAGCTTGGGGACTGAACTATTTTTTGTTTCCGCCTGGGGGACAAATTTCCATCTGCCCGGATAGAGGAGGTAGAATTTCTCTATGTCAAGGTGTCTGGAGTCACTGACTGAAGAGCAACTGATTATTAACTTACTATTACCAGAGGAGAAAGCTCTTACGCAGGAAAAACTGAGAACCCATATAGCCAAAGAGGCTGCAGCACTGGATGGATGACCCAACAGCACTAATAATGAATGGCATGTTGATGGAAACAGGTCAGAAAGTCCTTTTGCAAGTCCTTTTGCATCAAAATATTCTTGCCAGCTCTAGTCTGAAGCAAGTTTAGTGCCAGTTATAGAGGCAGTCAATGGCAGCAGTAGCCTGTGGTTGCTTCTGATCAGGACTAACCAAGAGATTCCAGATCTCTCAACTGTGCCATGCTACAGGATCTAGACACTCTGCATGCAACCCAAATGGAAAACTGAACTCTGCAAGATGGGATGCATTTTGTGTCCAGAATTTGGTCCTTGAGGCCACAGACTTCCGAGAGAAAGAGTTGGTCCGCATACGGCGACCAGCTTTTGTCCTCATTGCAAGGCAGTCCAAAGCAAGCAGTTCTTAACTGCTGTGGCACACCCATATGTCAACTAAGACTGCATTCATTGTGATGAATCACAGGTATAACTTTCCTTTGTGCCCATCTGTTGCTGACAAAAGGCTTGAAAGACTAAGCAGGCTAGACTAGAAAAATGGCTAACAGAAGTAGGCGGTGGGTGGGTGTGTTATCAGATCAGAGGATGAGCAAGACTACAGTCAGACATGTGCCATCTTTTGTGTGCTTTGATAAGCTATGACTTAAGCTCGTTTGCAGGAAAGTGACCGAGCCGGATACAAACACAGACTTGACCCAGATGTGTTTGCTGCTGGAGGAGCCCATGTGATTGAATGAAATACCATTGCCCTATGTCAGCCATTCCCAATCTGGTGCTCGATCCCCAGATGGGAGTTGTGGTTCAAAATGCATGCCAGGAGGGCACCAGAATCAAGAAGGCTTTCCTCAAGCGCATGAACTCAGCATCAGCGTTGGGCGACTAATCTAAGAACAAAACTTCTTTATGTGTATAGGAGTTTTTGAGAGTTAACAGAGACCTTTAGTGAAGCCAAAAAGGTATTGAAAGACAACTTCTTTAGCAGTAGAGTCTATATCTACAGAGCACCAGAAAACAGAATTATTTGGGCACAACTTGAGGATAGAGCAGGAGACAGGATTGCTCCATCCACCATTTTGAATCTCTCCCCCAGTGGCCACAGCCACAACCCCCAGGAAGGACAAGCTTGCGCCAAGTCCTGAGGGAGCTACAAGTCAAACCTTGAAGAGCAGCCTCCTTTCTTGCTTGCTTTTGAGCACAGCTCTTTAACCCCAGGTTAGCTTCTCAAATATGTTTCCTGCACACCCAAGGTTTAGTTATTCTGCTTTGGTTTATACTAAGCTACTCCCGATACAGCTGGGAATATGGGTCACTATGAACCATAGGGTTTGTTGCTAGGCCTAAGGAACATTGGACAACTTACTTCATATGAGCAAGTTGTAAATGGAGACTGAGGCTAAACAGACCATAGAATCAAAGAGTTGGAACGAATTCTGAACACCACCCAGTCCAAATTCCCTGCAATGCAGAACTCTCAACTAAAGCATCCATGACAGATGGCCATCCAACTTCTGCTTAAAAACCTCCAAGGAAGGAGAGTCCACCAGCTTCTTGGACAGGCAGTCCTGTTGAACAGGGTGGTAACTACATTTCTGTGCCCTGCGAAGACTTAAATCTGCAAGGCCAACCACCTTCCAATATGTACTACTCTACTTTGGTAATATGGTGCCCTGAGTGAGGACAAAATTTGGCACCCTTTCCCGAACATTTCTTATTTTCACAATAATTCCTGTTGGTACAGTTGCTTTTTATGGATCTTCTCAGTAACTACTGGTGTAAATATAGGTTGTTGTTGTTGCTACTGCTGCTGCTGCTGTTCTCCCCTCAGCTCAGCGCCCTGTGTGAGGGAACCACCCACACTGCCCTAAATGCAGCACTGATTCTATGAAGGTGCATTATGTAGTCTGGCTTGGCCCTTGCTGCCATTCTTACAATAGGAAGCTGCACCCAGAATGAATCACTTGCCATTCACTCTGTCTACATGCAGTCCCATTTCTATGCCCCAACTGCCCCCAAATCCAACACACAAGACATTTTGATAATTGGGTTTTATTTAAGAACTCCAAAGTCTGTTACGTCTGAGCAGGGCCCCTTCGCATTTGCTTTGGGCCAGTTCAAATGGCAACTCTGTCTGGAGATCCTTTAGACTTCCACCGAGTTTCAGGTATCAGTTTTGGAGTTTGCAGCTAGGTGTCTTCCTTTTCTAATAAAGGGAAATTGGGTTCTTTTCTGTTTCCAAAGACCTTACTGGTCTTACCGACCTGATATTCCAGAATAAATGAATGAATACATTGTGAATCTATCATAATGATCTGGGAGCACTGAAAGGGGTGGGGGGGCTAATCTCCAGGGCTTGTTTACTATGCTCTGTCCAATCCTAAGAGCCCTGCTTGGTTTTAGAAAATGAAAGCAAACTGTGTGAGTGCCGATTTTGGATTTTGCTGTTCCTCCATTATTTTCTGCTTTTTGAACAGAGCTGCACAGGGTCAGCCTGACGGGCAGTTCTGTTTGTTTTTCAACCAGAGGGGCACTGTAGCTCCACGAGCTTCTGGCAACGTATACAGGCTTTGCTATTAATATGCTCTCCGGCTGAATCCTTTAACTACAGAAGCCTGTCACTTCTACATTTAATCCAGTTGCAGCGTATCTTCTGAGCATTAAGCAGATTTGCCCATATCGAGTGCCAAGCGAGATTAACAAACATGGCTGGGAGGAGCACAGGGGCGGAGAAGCAGCTTTTCTAGCCTACAAATTGCTGAAAGATTTGCTCTGCAGCTGCCAGCCACAGACTGTGTGCAGGCACACATGCACACCTTGATTCTGCTACCCACAAGCGCTGTTGCAGCAAGGCAGTCAAGTGTTTTAAGTGCCACAGAAATCATATGCACCAAGACATACCCAGATATTCCGAAGGATGATTGTTAGTGCAGGGATCATTCGTAAAAGCTATATTTAATGTGTATGCCTGGTTCCTTTCTCACTTTAACAGCAGTGTTCAAAATTAGCCAGGTGCTACGCGACTTTTGCACCTGGCTTTGAACCATTT